GAAAGGAAGGAAAAAGAGGAGGAGGAGAAGGGTGTGGAAGGGGGAGAGGAGAGATATGTTTAGAGGGGAGGAAAAGGGACGGTGGTGGGGGAGGTGAGATTAGAGGGAGAGGGAAGAAGAAGTTAGGGAGAGATAAGAGATAACAGGAGAGGGAGGAGGAGGAGAGGTTGATTTTTCGGATTTCAGTTTCTGTGTGTGTGTGTGTGTGTGTGTGTGTGTGTGTGTGTGTGTCAACAGGAAACTCATTGGCCAGACTTAACAAGGAGAGAGGAACATGAGTAAAAAAATAATTGAGAGAGATAAAACAGATAATAAATCAAACGTAAATAATTAATTAAAAGTAAAAAAATGAAAAGAAAAAAATATCTACCAATTATATAGCAAAAAATAATAAGTAAATTAACTACAAACTAATAGATTATATAACAAAGTTAAAGTAATTATCATAAAAAATAATAATCTCACGTTATTAATTTAAGGATTTTAATAATTTATTTTTTGCTTAATAATAACAAAATGGACGACGAATTACGTATTATTATTATTATTATTATTATTATTATTATTATTATTATTGTTATTGTTGTTGTTGTTGTTTTTGTTGTTGTTGTTGTTGTTGCATTTAAATTAAGAATAAGAAAACAGTATTTTTTGTTTGAAGAGATGTAAGTCTTAACTTCTTACTTTACAGTTGATGGTGGAGTTATATCTAGTGCAGTGCTTTGAAGATAATAATGTACTTTTGAATGTGTTTACTGAATGACGAAAACAAGAAAAAGTACTGAATGTAGCGTAAGATGAATGAAAAAACAACAATAACAATAACAATAATAACAATAACAACAATTAAACACAAAAACACACGAGAAAAAACACAAAAACACACAAAAACACGAAAAAAAATCGAGAAAAAACACAAAAACACACAAAAACACGAAAAAACACACCACGAAAAACACAAAAAACACAAAAACAAGAACAAACACCAAAACACAGTATAACACAAGGGAAAAAACACGAAAAATACTAAAAAAAACACACGACCCTTCTAAATATATCCAGAAAAACATTGATGAAAAACACGAAACAACAGTTAAGCAGAACACCTCGTTTGCACCTCCGGCCAGCAACGTCGAAACAGCTGACAGGTAGACAGACCCTCGTTGCCCCCATCAGCTGTTTGTCTAGTCAGCTGTTACCCCACTCACCTCATGCCAAGTCAGCTGTTGCTACTCACCCCTAAACAGCTGATCAGACGTCTGGATCCCATTCAGGTGACGGAAGCATTGATAACATCGGCTTAAGTGGAGCTGGGGGTAACTTATGGGAGAGAGAGAGAGAGAGAGAGAGAGAGAGAGAGAGAGAGAGAGACGAAAACAGGGAGAGAGTAGAGAAGAGAGAGAGACGAAAACAGGGAGAGAGTAGAGAAGAGAGAGAGGGGAGAGAGTAGAGAGAGAAGAGAGAGACGAAACTGGGAGAGAGTGAGAGAGAGAGAGAGAGAGAGAGAGAGAGAGAGAGAGAGAGCACAAACCATTAAAAATAGTCACGTTCAGCCAATAATAATTTTACCTGTAGAACAAATATCAACAAACTCTTCTTTAAACATGACATTCCCACGTCACACCTGACCTCTGACCCTATATGAAGATGACCCCGTGAACACTTGACCTTTGACCCAGGTGAACATATCCCTATAGCAATCCAGAACCTCCTAATAGGTGAAGTCAAAATCCAGACACCTGTAGAGTCTGACAGGTGATTGATTAGCCAATTACCTGTTAACAAGAAGTACCCAATCACATATTCACCTCAGCCATTACCTCAAACACCTTTCTCTTTAGTCGCAAAACATCGTACGTTTTTATATTCTTATTTTATATATACGGCAACACACACACAGGTATCCTATAGTCTCAGTGCAATTATGTCGCCATTTTTTAGCCTTAAGTCCGTGTCGTAGCTTCAGTGAGTCTGTTAGATAAGTTAAGGGATGGATTTAACTTAAGGCTCAGAATATTGCCTCAGGTGCTCAACAGGTGTTTTACCGTCACCCATAGACTCCCAGGTGAGAGAGATATTGAGCCTCATTAAGGACGTTCTATGGAGTGTTACCTGCCTGGGGGTAAACAGTGCCGGTGATGGGTGTGGTTAGGTTAGGTTAGGTTAGGTTAGGTTTGGTTAGGTTAGGTTAGGTTAGGTTTGGTTAGGTTAGGTGTTGTATATTGATATCCTTGAAGTATTTTCTTAAACTACCCACATATCCCCACCCTACCCAGGTTAGGTGTTGTATATTGATATCCTTGAAGTATTTTCTTAAACTACCCACATATCCCCACCCTACCCACAACTATCCCCACCGTACCCACAACTATCCCCACCCTACCCACATATCCCCACCCTACCCACAACTATCTCCACCGTACCCACAACTATCCCCACCGTACCCACAACTATCCTTACCGTACCCACAACTATCCTTACCGTACCCACAACTATCCCCACCCTACCCACAACTATCCCCACCCTACCCACAACTATCCCCACCCCACCCACAACTATCCCCACCGTACCCACAACTATCCCCACCCCTACCACACACAACTATCCCCAATCTCTACCACAGCCAACTATCCTCCTAATTCTACCTACAACTATCCCCACTGCACTCACACTATCCACCCTACCACAATAACCATCCCCACCCCTACGTACAACTATCCCTAACCCCTGCCCACAACTATCCCCTGTCTCAAGAACTATCCCAATTCCTACCACACAACTATCCTACTGTACCCAATAACTATCCCCACCCTCCCTTTACCCAAGGCTAACTATCCCCAATTCCCCACCCACAACTATCCCCACCGTACTCACACTATCCCACCCTACCACAACTATCCCCACTGTACCCAATAACCATCCTTATCAAATTCCACAACTATCCCTTAAATCTCTACCCAATAAACTATTATCCCCACCCTACCCACAACTATCCCACCCCTACCCACAACTATCCCCACCGTACCAATAAACTGTCCCACTGTACCCACAACTATCCCCACTGCACCACACTATCCCATCCCACCACACAAATTATCCCACCGTACCCACAACTATCCCCACCCTACTCCACAACTATCCCCACCGTACCAACTGTCCTTACTGTACCCACAACTATCCCCACCGTAATTCACACTATCCCACCCTACCACACAACTATCCCCACCGTACCCATTAAATCATCCCCACCCTACCACACAACTATCCCCACCCCACCAATAACAACTATCCCCACCCCACGTACAACTATCCCCACCCCACCTACAACTATCCCCACCGTGCTCACACTATCCCACCCTACCACACAACTATCCCCACCCTACGTACAACTATCCCAACCCTGCCCACAACTATCCCCATCGTACCCACAACTGTCCTTACCGTACCCACAACTATCCCCACCGTACTCACACTATCCCACCCTACCACACAACTATCCCCACCCTACCTACAACTATCCCACCCAGTAGACTCAGGAAAGCGCGTGCCTACTCGGGAAATGCTAAAGGAAGTGACGAAGCGATTTCTTTACACGATTGTCACTTGGATAAGATCTTTTGGGGAAGGAAGGAGGGAGAGGGAGATGGAAGGAGAGGGAGAGGGAGGAGTGGAAGGGTACAGGACGATGAGAACAGCATTTTCCTCCTCCTGACACAGAAGCAGACTTGATAACAAAGACACAACAACAAGGCACATCACAGCATTTCCCTCTAAATGTTTGTTGTCGCTGTTGGCTGGTTGGATCCATGTAGAAGTCACACGCCAACATCAGTGGAGGTTCTTGTTTTGACTCGGACGTAAACACACACGCAAACACGGAATCAAATAAGTGTTTTACATTCACACAGACACAACATACACGCAAGCACGCAAGAACGCCATCAATAGAAAATTTATCACACACACACACACACACACACACACATTGACTGCCTCGTTGTTGCCTTAGCTGAGGTGTCCCGTGGGGTGGTGAGGTGAGAGTGACGGGGTGCTTGGGGAGATCGTGGGGTGAAACGGGGTTCTATGGGGGTGTGGGGTGAGACTAACGGGGTGCTTGGGGAGATCGTGGGGTGAAACGGGGTGCTATGGGGGTGTGGGGTGAGACTAACGGGGTGCTTGGGGAGATCGTGGGGTGAAACGGGGTGCTATGGGGGTGATGTGGGTGTGGGGTGAGACTGCTATTAACCTACCCAGCATTCTCAATACGGTCAGGCAATAGACAACCTCCCTAGACCAGCGGCAACTAGCATACGGTCGGCGGTGTATACAATAAGACCCTAAAAGTACCCGCTAAAAAAACCCCTTAATGTCACTAAATACGGGACACGGTACAGATGGCCAAGTACCAGAGCTGTACTGTGCAGGTAAACCAATCAGAGAAGTTAACAACCCACTACATAAGCTCACCCACACTAGTAGTTTAGCTCGTTAGTAATAAGGTGATTAGCCCGTTAACTACCTTCTTTCTACTTCTCTCTGACACAAGACTAACCCCTACCCCCGCCCGCTGGTGGACGCTACACACCACAATAGCTCCGGGTCATGTAGTAGGTCAGTCTGGGTCACACAAGGTCACGTGGAAGGATGGGAGATGTGGGTGTGGGAGCCATTGTGTTTCTTTCTTTCTTTCTTTCTTTCTTTCTTTCTTTCTTTCTCTATCTGTCTGTCTGTCTATCTGTCTGTCCGTCTGTCTGTCTGTCTGTCTGTCTGTCTGTCTGTCTGTCTGTCTGTCTGTCTCATTTTTTCTCTTTCTTCTTCTTTCTTTCTCATTTTCTTCTTTCTTCTCTTTTCTTTTTCTTTTTTCTTTTTCTTTTCTTTTCTTTCTTTTCTTTCTTTCTTTCTTTCTTTTCTTTTCTTTTCTTTTCTTTCTTTCTTTCTTTCTTTTCTTTCTTTTCTTTCTTTTTCTTTCTTTCTTTTCTTTCTTTTCTTTTCTTTCTTTCTTTCTTTCTTTCTTTCTTTTCTTTTCTTTTCTTTCTTTTCTTTTTCTTTTTCTTTTCTTTCTTTTCTTTCTTCTTTTTCTTTTCTTTTCTGTCTGTTCGTCTGTCTGTTCGTCTGCCTGTTCGTTCGTCTGTTCGCTGTCTGTTCCGTCTGTCTGTTCGTAGTTCGCCCGTCTGTCTGTCTGTTCGTTCAATTCGTCTGCTCTGTTCGTCTGTTCGTTCGTCTGTTCGTTCGTCTGTCTGTCTGTTCGTTCGTTCGTCTTTGCTGGTTCGGTTCGTTCGTCTGTTCGTTCGTCTGTCTGTCTGGTTCGTCTGTCTGTTCGTCTGTCTATCTGTCTGTCTGTCTATCTGTCTGTCTGTCTGTCTGTCTGTCTGTCTGTCTGTCTGTCTGTCTGTCTGTCTGTCTGTCTCATTTTTTCTCTTTCTTCTTCTTTCTTTCTCATTTTCTTCTTTCTTCTCTTTTCATCTTTATCGGCCTCATCTAATTTTCCTTTCATTTCCAGCATCATTATTATCTATTTCCTCTTATTTTCCTTCTGAAACTTCTTCTGTACTGAAATCCGGAATCTGTAGTTGAACTTGTAATCCTGGACTGAAATCCGTTAACTGTAACTGAACTTGTAATCCTGGACTGAAATCCGCTATCTGTAACTGAACCTGTAATCCTGTACTGAAATCCGCTATCTGTAACTGAACTTGTAATCCTGGACTGAAATAACTGTAACTGAACTTGTAATCCCTGAAAATCCTGTGTAATCCTGACTGAAATCCGCTATCTGTAACTGAACTTGTAATCCTGGACTGAAATCCGCTATCTGTAACTGAACTTGTAATCCTGTACTGAAATCCGCTATCTGTAACTGAACTTGTAATCCTGGACTGAAATCCGTTAACTGTAACTGAACTTGTAATCCTGGACTGAAATCCGCTATCTGTAACTGAACTTGTAATCCTGGACTGAAATCCGTTATCTGTAACTGAACTTGTAATCCTGGACTGAAATCCGTGAACTGTAAACTGAACTTGTAATCCTGGACTGAAATCCGTTATCTGTAACTGAACTTGTAATCCTGGACTGAAATCCGCTATCTGTAACTGAACCTGTAATCCTCTACTGAAATATGTCCGATTTTCATATTTGTTTGTACTTCATCTAAGATTCCGTTTTCTATAGGACTATACATACATGAGGGTAGATTACAGAAAACGGGACAGTAGTTGTTCACAAATTTTACCAATGTAGCTGTGTGTGTGTGTGTGTGTGTGTGTGTGTGTGTGTGTGTGTGTGTGCGTTACGGAGTTTATGTGAGATGTTACAGAGAGAGAGAGAGAGAGAGAGAGAGAGAGAGAGAGAGAGAGAGAGAGAGAGGAAAACATTGTGTCTTTATGCGTTGGTGATGTTGGTGGTGTGTGTGTGACGCAAGGAAGGGTGAGTGGGCGGAGAGGAGGTGGTGGTGGTGGATTGGACAGGTCGGCGCCAGGTAAGGAGCTTCCAAACCACTACTACACCCACCCACTCCTACCACCCATCCACCTACCCACCCCCACCCAGCTCTTCTGCTAACTTCCCACTCCTCACTAGCCACCCCACGCCTGCACCTCCTTCCTCCCTCCCTCTCTCTCCCCCTCTCCCCCTCTCCCCCACACTGACGCCCCACCTCGTGACCTTGGTAAGGTCAGCACCTCCGGGATGCGTCGCGCTGTTCACCAATGCAGCTGGTGGCGTCTGCACCCGGCAGCTGGTCTAGACCCAGCCATCTGGGGGCCTTCACAGTTGGGATTTTACTGATTTCCCCAAATTTTGTCCATCAAGTCGAAGAAACAAACGAAACATTATTAGTTTATTAACATTTAATCCGTTTTAATGAAGGATTTACTACCATATTAATCCGGTATAATTTTTTTTTTAGGAAAGACGAAACGGATGAAACTCTTAACTTAAATTTCAATAATCTATATTTCTCATAAACCATCATTCCTCCTCCATCACCAGGTGTGTTCTCCCGCACGGTACATGTGTGTTCTCCCGCACGGTACAGGTGAGGCAAGAGTACGCCAGGTGGTGCTACCTGGTCTGGAGGCGTACACTTATGGGGTTTGATCAGGTACCGATGTGGTTTCCTCACTGGGGACGAGAAAATGGGATTACCTAGTCAGTTTACACCTGCCAGGACCACGAGTATTGCGTACACACACACACACACACAGGTGGAAGTACGTGGATGACTGCACTGTGGGGGTTTCAATGGACAACACCGCACCAGACTACTCATCGCTACAAGGCACCCTGGACAGGCTACAGGCATGGACTACGGAGAACAAGGTCACCATCAACCACACCAAAAGCGTAGTCATGCACATTGTCATGGTTTTGGGTGGATCGGTGGTGTATGAGTTGATTACATTATATAAAGATAATAATATGTCGTATTTCTTATTTCTTACCGTAGAGTTCGATACCTTCACACTGGTTACTTACAGGAGATTATGGTGTACCTGCGTA